TATGATTTACAATCCAATAACGCCCAACAGAATGCTTTTAGGGATGCAATGGAATGGGCAGTCTCTCTTACAGCCTAGTCAGCAGCTACGTCCATTTTTCCCAAAGCCTCTCTACCCTGTCTAGAGGACCCACTAATATTGGGTCACAATGCTGTGACCTGACATGGATCTGGGAGGAGGGCAGCAGGCCTGTCAGGGAGAGGAAAAAAGTTCTACCTCCACTTAGCAGAAGTGGGGGAAAACAAGAAAAAAAAAAAGGCAGTATGTAGCAGAGATTATCAAGGCTTACAAGAGGAAGATGAAATGAGTGGTTGAGAAATGTGCACACACAAAAAATGAGTCACTACTCTTGTTGTCAGTTACATGACAGGCCAGCAAGTGAGTCTGTTCAGTCTCCTGTGACAGAGGATGGTATTGAGAAGGCTCTTTACACACTCCAGTGAGGTTGCTTTGGAAGTAACAAGAGAGAAGAGGGGATTGGAATAACGAATGAGCAGCAAGGACAGCTCTAATCTATCTCCTGCATAATTCACAAATAATTTTCTTCTGGCAACACAAAGCTCCTATTGCAATACCATATTCAAAATAAATGAGCCTATATAGCTCTGATGGTATCAATATTAAGTCTCAAGCTCCTACTTGATCCCAAGAATCAAGTGCTCAAGTGACTAGATATTAAATTTCAAATAATTTTATCATGAACTTAATATGAAAAAGTTTTAAAAAACATGTGGAATTTTCTCATCCCTGTTTTGTTAGGGTACAGGGTAGCGTGAATATGTATATGGGGGAGGGGAGAAAGAGAAGAAAAGCTGTAGAAAGGTGCACAACATGCAAATATAGCATGATGAAATTTAACCAGAAACAAAGGAATTTTAGTTTTGCCTCTCTCAGTCGAGCCAAACATCTATTTCAGGTTGAAGATCTAGATTCCGATCACTCCTCTGGGCATCTGTGTAGATGAGGATGGACCCTTCTCAAACATTCAATAAATATTTACTGACCACATGCTATTCCTGAGGCATTTTGCAAGGTGCAGGCCACCACAATACAACCACTCAGCAGAGGCCCACAAAGGAAAGCCTCCATTCTTTGGTAGGTAATAATCTCCTACCTGCAGTTCTTCAGCAAAATAGTTAGCTAGATACAAACACTTTACTTATTATGGTCAGGCGGCTTTTTTCTTTCTTTTTTTTTTAAGATTTTAATTATTTATTTCACAGAGAGAGACACAGCGAGAGAGGGAACACAAGCAGGGGGAGTGGGAGAGGGAGAAGCAAGCTTCCCGCCGAGCAGAGAGCCTGATGTGGGGCTCGATCCCAGGACTCTGGGATCACGAACCGAGCCGAAGACAGACGCTTAACGACTGAGCCACCCAGGTGCCCAGCCCAGTCAGGCGGCTTTTCCCAAGTCATCCCTATCAGAGGTAGTTCTCCAGGGAATGTGGGAACTTAAAAAAAAAATAAATAAATAAATGCTCAGTGTGGTTGATGAAGAGGATGAGAAAGTAAGACCAAACTGTAAATGCTATGTTTATTCTTTGGGATATATTTTTTTTGAAGTTTATTTTTTAGGGGCGCCTGGATGGCTCAGTCGTTAAGCGTCTGCCTTCGGCTTAGGTCATGATCCCAGGGTCCTGGGATCGAGCCCCACATTGGGCTGCTCGGTGGGAAGCTTGCTTCTCCCTCTCCCACTCCCCGTGCTTGTGTTCCTGCTCTCTCTGTCAAATAAATAAATAAAACCTTAAAAAAAAAAAAAACCCTAAGCATTTTTAAAAAAAAAGTTTATTTTTTAGTAATCTCAACACCCTCAATTTGGGGCTTGAACTCACCACCCCGAGATTAAGTCTCCTGCTCTTCTGACTGAGCCAACCAGGCGCAGCTATTCTTTGGGAGATTCTTTTTTATTTATTTTTTTAAGATTTTATTTATTTATTTATCAGAGAGAGAGAGAAAGAGCACAAGCAGAAGGACAAGCAGGCTCCGCACTGAACAAGGAGCCCGACGTGGGACTCGATCCCAGGGTCCTGGGATCATGATCTGAGCCAAAGCCACTTAACCAACTGAGCCACCCGGGTGTCCCTCTTTGGGAGATTCTTAAAACAGCACAAATAGCAATAATTTATCAAGGGGCAGGGTGTCAGACTCATTAAAATATGCAGAACAATTTGAAACAAAAATTTGAGAAAAAAATACAGTCTTCAAGTCAAATACATTATATTAAATAACCAAGAATAAGATGAGCATGGGTTTGTTCTCCAAATCCTAGAATACTAGGAAGAGGGGGTTAAACCTTAATCCTTGAAAAAGGGTTTAAGGAACAGGAAAAGATGGCCACATCATACAGTGGAAAGAGCACGAGGCTTGGGAAAATGATCTGGATCTTTGTTCTAGTTCCTCCCCCAGTGAGTATGAAACCTCTGAAAAGCTGTAGGATGTTTCTAAGCCTTAGTTTACTGTCTATAAAAAAAGGCTGGAGTTATAGCTCTTACAGTCTATGATTACTACATGAATCACTTCTAGAAACCAAGCAGATAGGATCTGAGAAATGAGAAAACCGTAGGAAAGACAATTAACTGCACCAATATATTTTTTTTGAAGATTTTATTTATTTATTTGAGAGAGAGAGAATGAGAGCACGAGAGGGAAGAGGGTCAGAGGGAGAAGCAGACTCCCTGCTGAGCACGGAACCCGATGTGGGACTCGGACTCCAGGATCATGACCTGAGTGGAAGGCAGTCGCTTAACCAACTGAGCCACCAATATTTTTTTTTTAAGATTTTATTTATTTGACAGAGAGAGACACAGCGAGAGAGGGAACACAAGCAGGGGGAGTGGGAGAGGGAGAAGCAGGCTTCCCACAGAGCAAGGAGCCTGATGCGGGGCTCGATCCCAGGACCCTGGGATCATGACCTGAGCCGAAGGCAGTTGCTTAACCAACTGAGCCACCCAGGCGCCCCTGTACCAATACTTCTAATGTCTTTTACTATACTCTAAGAGTGGCTTCAACTACCTTTATGAAAGGCCAGTGTAGCAAGAGAGGAACCGACAATCCTGCAGTCAATTCTACTCCTAAGTTAGTAGGTTTTATAAAAAGAAACAAAATAGCGAGACTGCTTCTAGGGTTAAACTTTCCTAAGATCAAACATGAGATGAAAAAAGATGCCTGACCTTATTAGCCAAGGAATATCATACTAGAATGCTTTCAGCTCAGTATCCCCATCCACCCTTACGGACACTGGAGCACCATAGAAACATTCAGATAGAATTCCCACAGGTAAAGGATCCTTTCCAGTGGCTCTGCCAGGGGATATATAAGTCTTCACAGTCACCTGAGGAAACTCTTTGGAACTCTGAAGATATATCCAAGTTTATATGAAATGGGTATTTATAAGCAACAAGCTATTTCCCCTTACCACTGACATGAAGAAATTTCCACGCTGGCATATATTTATATGAAAAGCAGAGAATTCTTTCCTAGGACAATTAAATTTTTTCTGTCCTGAATTGTGTATTTTCCTTTTTAGTCATTACATTGTCTTCCTCTTTTTTCAGCCCTCATATACAGTTGCCAAGGAGGAGAGTACCTGGATCTAGGTTATTCCTAAGAGGGAAAAGTGGTTTGTGCGCCTACCCCAGGAATACTTAATACAATGACTATACTTTAAAAACTGCAACACTAAGTTCCCAAGGACTCAGAAAAGGCATTTAGATCTTTCAGTTTCATTTGCTTCAGTTAAAAACAACTTTATTTTTGTACGTGAACGTCTGACAGAGCACTCTGGTAACAACACACAAACACTATGAATAAATGGATGAATGACAAGCTAGCTACAGATAAAAACATTTTATTAAAGATTAGTCAGAAATAGTACGCAGTTTTGAAAAGTAATCCAAAACACATAATACTACTTTTTCAGAGAGTAACAGATTATTTGCAATATATCCCCATCCTAGAAAGGGCATTTCTGCTCTACATAAGGGCGAAATGAACAATAGATGTCAAAGTGCCATCCTCATTACCTGAGACCTATGCGGAAAGAAGTCTCCTTTCCTGGAGTCTGAGTAGATTTGATAAAATCACCCACAGCTCTAAGTCCACATTATAAAAGCAACACATCAAGTCCTCTGAGAACACTGTATCTTAGCAGATACTAACCACTCACTCAAAGAAAAGTGAGATGACTTTTACGAAGAACACACGGTCGGGAAAAGAATGTTGTCCTCTTTTAAGCCCTACGGCTCTCATCCTTTCAAAATGACCACTCCTCCTTCCATCTCAGGCCTCCAAGGCCTGTTCTGCAACTAATCTGACACCTTCCCATACTTTGGAAGCCTCAGGCTCCACCACGCCTTATCCCTACCAGATTTCTACTCTCTTGCGGGCTTTGGCAGCGGTTTTTTCTCGGGGGGGGGATATATTCACTCTCACACACACACGTCCATGAACTGACAAACCAAGGCTTGGGGCCTAACCCTGTTCCCCTCAACTCTCAGAAGTGTCCTCACAAGTCGTAGATTCCCAAGAACCCGCTCCTTTCTCTAGGAACGGCTGGCTCTTGCGTTAACCCTTCAGCTTCCACAGCCCCGACTAGTGCTGGTTCCTGTGGCGCTTTCCTGTTTCTCGCTTCGGCTGTTCGGGCTCTCAGCCGCAGCTCACACACAACCTGTTTTCCGTCAGAATCCTTGGGGGCTGGGAAAAGACCTAAAAGACCCCCCAGACGACCTCCGGGATCTAAGATGGAAAGGGCCCAGCGTACGCGCCCCCCACCCGGCCCCGACTCTGGCTCTTTCACCGTCCACGCCCCAAGCTCTGTCTTTACCTAGGCTCCGCGACCACCTCGGCCACCCTCCGAGCATCCCGCGCGGCGGCCCAGGCTCTCCCAGCCCCCTGCTTCCGGGCTTTCCCGGCACTTCTGCTTCCGGTGCTCGGCGTCTCCCCCGAGCCGGCCCCACCGGCCCGCGCCCCGGCCCTCCGCGCCGCTCGCTCGCGGACTCTCACCGCTCGAAGAGCAGCCGCACGGAGAATATGCCCGCCGCCACCGGGAACACCGAGAGGATGTGCCGCGCCCGCGGGTAGCCGTAGCCGTCGCCCGGCCCCTCAAGGTCGGCCCAGCTCACATTCTGAGGCAGCCAGAAGCGTTCGCTCCACAGCCAGCCCCACAGCAGGCCCAGGGCTCCCGCCGCCGCTGTCGCCATCTTACGCCCGCCCCGCGGCCACCGCCGCCACAGCTTCAGCTGCCGCCACAGCCAACGGAACCCGCGAGGAGGCGGCCCCGGGGCGGGGCCGGACCGGCGGCCACCCCCTTCCGGCCCCTTTCCGTCCCCGGCAGGTCTCAGCCCGCCTCCTCCGTGGGGCCGGGCCTCTTCACCGCCCATCTCGGCTCCACACCCACCCACCTTCCTGACTGCGGCCCCGGGGGCCGCCTCTCCTTAGGACCCCGCCCCCGTCGTGGCCACGCCCCATTTCCCCGCCCGGCCTCCATCCAGTCCCGCGGGCCTTCAGCTCCGGCCCCGCCCATTTTTTGCCAAGAGTTTCGGCCACGCTTCTCCTCCTCCTTCACTCTCTCCGCGAGCCACGGCCACACCCCTATTTCAGGCCTAGCTCCCTTAAGGAGACGCTCCTCCTTCTCAGCCCAGCCGTCCCTAAGGCTGTTCCCGCTCCCAGGCAGGCCATACCTACGTCTCTGCTCCTAGCCCCTGTCACTGGGGCCTACATCTCAGATGGTTCCGCCTAAACTCTCCCCACCTCTAGCATTTTTTGCTCCCAACTTTTTCCTGCCTTCGTGTCCTTCCATGATCTCAATTCCCTTTCACTGTTTTATCTCTTAAAATGGACTTTTGAAAATCCTTTTATTCTCATGGGTAAAAGGAAATGGAAGATATCCAAAGGATATTATCCAAAGAAAAATACAAAGGAAAAAAAAATAAATGATGGCCAATATTTAAGGAAGCTTACTGTGCCAGGTACTGCACTGAACATTTTAACACCAGTTATTTAACTTCATCGTCCTATGAAGTAGGTATTTACTATTTTATCGATGGGTAAACTGAGGTCCAGAGAGGTTAAGCAGTTTGCTCAAGGTTATATAGAATCGTGGTAGACCTGGGCTTCTGAGCTAGAAAGTCTTTAGACCTTGGAACCCTGAGCCCTTATCTTATAAACCTCCGTAATTTTAGGTTTCCACATGAAACATTTAACTCTTTTGTGGATCTACATAAACGAGAAGGGAAGCCATAGACAAGAAACCTTGAGAAAGCTAAATTCAGGGATGCCTGGGTGGCTCAGTCGTTGAGCGTCTGCCTTCGGCTCAGGTCATGATCCCGGGGTCCTGGGATCAAGCCCCGCATCGCATCGGGCTGCCTGCTCCGCGGGGAGCCTGCTTCTCCCTCTGCCTCTGCCCCTGCTTGTGTTCCCTCTCTCACTGTCTCTCTCCCTCTCTCTGTAAAATAAATAAAATCTTAAAAAAAAAAAAAAGCTAAATTCAAAATTGTCCCTCATCTGCTGGAGATTCCTGAACCCTGAGTGAGGTCTGTTTAAACCCTGCTGTAAGGTTAATTACCACAGGCTAACTAGAATGACCTGAAAAAAAGATTAAAAGAATTGAATCTCTACCTCTTGTTCAAGGACAGATAAGGTAACTTTATAACTAGTAAGGCAAGCTTACACCAGAAGTTAGAGTTTCAAGCGGAAAGGAAGAAGGGGGGGGAAAGGGTGCCATCCTAAAGTAGACTAGGTTTGCCTCAGCTCAGTGGTTCTCAAACTTAGGGTACCACAGCTTGGATATTAGCTTGTCCCATCTCTCACATGGAGAGTTTGCTGAAAGTTTTCTGGGCCCCATCCAGAGAAATTTTGATTCAAGAGGTGAGACGGTGGAGCCTATGAATTTACATTTCTCATTTCTAACAAACTCATAGGCATGCCACTGCCTCTGGTCCGAGAATCTCTGCCTGGAGCCATTTATTCCTTTTTTTTTTTCAAGATTTTATTTATTTATTTGAGAGAGAGAGAATGAGAGATAGAGAGCACGAGAGGGAAGAGGGTCAGAGGGAGAAGCAGACTCCCCGCTGAGCAGGGAGCCCGATGTGGGACTCAATCCCAGGACTCCAGGATCATGACCTGAGCCGAAGGCAGTCGCTTAACCAACTGAGCCACCCAGGCGCCCGAGCCATTTATTCCTAACCCAGCAATAGCTTAATGGTAACTACCCTATATTCAAGGTACATTTTTTAGAAAGTAAACCTGGGGGCACCTGGGTGGCTCAGTCGTTAAGCGTCTACCTTTGGCTCAGGTCATGATCCCAGGGTCCTGGGATCGAGCCCCGCATCAGGCTCTCTGCTCAGCGGGAAGCCTGCTTCTCCCTCTCCCACTGCCTGCCGCTCCCCCTGCTTGTGTTCTCTCTTTCTCTCTCTCTGTCAAATAAATAAATAAAATCTTAAAAAAAAAGTAAACTTGGGGCGCCTAGGTGGCTCAGTCGGTAAGCATCCGACTTCGGATCAGGTCATGATCTCTGGGATACAAGTCCTGCATCAGGCTCCCTGCTCTGCGGGGGCCCTGCTTCTCCCTCTCCCTCTGCCGCCGCTCTCCCTGCTTGTGCACGTTCGCGCACTCTCTTGTCAAATAAATAAATCTTAAAAGAAGTAAACTCTCCTTGATCCCATGGGAATTCAAATCAGAGTCCTGAGGAACAAAGAATATACTAACTTGGCATGCAGGAACAAGCACACAGTGATCTTGGTCTCAAGGTCTATCTCCCCAAAACCACATTTGTACCATTTCTCAACATCTTGGCTGTTAGAAAATATATAGTTGATGAAATATGTAATGAGAGCAAACTGTGCAGCTTTCACCTTGTCCAGGACTGATCCAACCAGCAAGCTGGTAGAACTAAGTTGGCCCAGTAGTAGTCATGAAGAGTCTCCTTAACCATCTCAGGTCCCAAGCTGGCCCCTTTTCTTGCTTCACCGGCAGAAAAGCACATCATCTTGTTGCCACCACTGACATACCAAGCCAAAACAAGTTGCCTTCAGAGAGCTGAAACATATTGTGTGGCTATAGGTTCTTTTGTTTTCTAAGAATGTTTAGTATTCTCTGGTTATTTATTTATTTGACAGAGAGAGAGCACAAGCAGGGGGAGTGGCAGGCAGAGGAAGAAACAGGCTGCCCGCTGAGCAGGGGGTCCAATGTGGGGCTCGATCCCAGGACTCCGGGATCATGACCTGAGCCGAAGGCAGACATTTAACTGACTGAGCCACCCAGGCGCCCTTCTGGTCATTCTCCTGATAGAAACAGCCTTTTATTACATTGATATGGAGCTAGTCCTTCTTTCTACTCTCTGTAACTATGTCTATCTTAGCCCCTGAAAGGCAAAGAAAACGGTTTTTCTAAGGTTAATCTCAGTCCCTGCATATCTGATTTATGGTGACATATTCAACTAATATCCATAAGTGTTGACCATAGACGCTCAGACTTTTTTGTATAAAATCAGTAGATTCAGTGAGTACCATGTAGATGGGTTGGAGTAGCAGTGAGTCACACAGTAAAGGTAGCTAAAATCAAGCCAGGACTGGATATTTTATGGATATCATCCTGGATTAACTGTTGAGTGAACAGGGCTTTCTAAATGACTTCAGCCTGTGATGGGGCCCAGAGCAGAAAAGAGTACCCTGCCATCCATTTGGAAGACCAAGCAAAACCCTGGAACATACAGTGAGTGACCCTGGAAAATGTAACAGATGAATCAAAAAGCATGCCTATCTCCAAGGAATTCACACTCCCACATTTCCATTAAAAAAAAAAAAAAAAGGTGTTGGGGTGTCTGGGTGGCTCAGTCGGTTAAGTGTCTGCCTTTGGCTCAGGTCATGATCCCAGGGTTCTAGGATCGAGCCCCACATCGGGCTCCCTGCTCTGCAGAGAGCCTGCTTCTCCCTCTCCCTCAGCTGCACCCCCTGCTTGTGCTGTCAAATAAATAAATAAAAAATATTTTTTAAAAAAGTGCTTTAGCTATTGGGGCAGTTGCCTCTACAGGCAAGGAAAGCAAACAACCACTATGCCTCTGCCCAGAGTGTTAAACAAGTCCATTTTTAAGTAGAGGCGTTGGGAAATTCCCTTTAGCACGTTAGGCATAATTGCAAGGTGAATTATTAAATGTTGAGTACAATTAACAATTTAAAAAAAACCACTACTGGATTTTGAATTGCTAAAACAAACAGCTCATTTTGAATGTACACACTAATTTTCTTGCCAAATTGCCCTCAATTTTTAAGAAAAATTTGTCCTCCCTTAGGGCATTTGAGTACCCACGATCGACCCAACACCACCACCTAGTGGTGAAATATACTCCTAACACTTCTCTTCACTTAAAACGCACCAGACCCATTTGCCTTTTCTTCCCAAACTGCTCAGGTAAAAGGATGTCCTGCGAGACTGTCACGATGTAAAATAATAATGGAAAAGGAACACTGAAAAGGCCAAATGTAAATTAAAAGCTTTATTGAATAAAAATGTTTCAGACTAAGCAAGACTGTAAGAAAGCAGAATATTTTACATCTCTAAAAAATATTAGGGCTAAATCTCTAAAAATGCAGTACAAAGAAAAGTCTATAGCTTAAAATACCTCTCTCCTCCACATACAATTTGGAATATCAGTTATGTACAACAAATGTACTCAAGTTTATAATGTTCTAAAACCTTAACTACTAGAATACCATCTTCCCAAAAAAGGCCTATAATTGGTTTAATGCACCCTGGAAATACTGTCTGCCATAAAAATCAATACATTTCAGAGCTGATAAGTATTAAAAAAACTAGCGTCCCAGAAAGGGGATATCAGAAGTGGAATATCGGGTTTGGGGGTCTGGGCTCCAGTGGTTTAAGGCAGTTTTTTCTGTTGTTCCTCCTTTAAACTCCTCATTTGGCTTTAACATGCAACATGGCAAACAACAATACAAAAGATCTTATAAAAATATTGCAGCTTTCAGTAAATTATGAGCTGCACAGATACCACCAACGAAGAAAGCAATCAACTGGGATGTAGTCAAATTCATTGGCAAATACCAGAGCTTAACTGAGAGATAGCAGATCTCAGCAAGCACCAAATGTGCTCAAAAAGTGCCCCCAAAGAATGGTTGTATTATTATCTCAATAATCCAGTTCAGGATATGGTTTAGAGAAAGGGATGCATAGCAATAAATTCCCCATATATATCAAAGTAAGAAAATTCACCTAAAAATGTTTTAAAGATTAAATATTTGATCTCTTAACAGACGAATACTAAATAAATTGGTATTCATTTAAAAATATACAAACCGTGCCCTTTATGCTAAAGTGCATTCAGTCATAATGTTTAGGTCCCTAAACCCCTACTGTATGTTCCCTAATTCCATAAATGAATTTTTAGCATAACAATGTGCTACTAATCATCTATTTTTGTATTGCCTTTTGGGAATACAGTGGAGTCTGGATTTATCAGTTGGCAATATATTCCCCCCCTCACCATAAGACCTTAAAGCACTTATGTATATCATCATTGCTAAAATAGAGGACTTAAGTAATATCTCTAGCACTTACAATTGGTTCACTTAAGCTTCAGTTTGGGATTTTTTTTTTTTGAAGCAAGAACTCTTCCAAAATTACTTCCATATAAATTACAGTTCATGCTAAGATACCTGTGTATGTGCATCACTTTGAGAAAGGGCAGTGACTCACTAACACTAACACAAATTTAAGGCCCAGCACCCTTTGCAGTCTGTCATTCCTCATCCTCATCATAGTACCGATTTCTCTTTATCTGTTCCTCCACAGACAGCTCTTGAACTACTTCTCCCTCCCAGAATCCCACATCCTGGGATTTCTGATTTTGGGTAGTGAATTCTTTAGGGGAGGTATTGTCTGCAAAGCTGGACCAATTTGTAGACTTGGGTTCTAGCGGAGACTGCTGTTTGAGATTTCTATCATCTTCATCTAAGTTTGCACCATTTTCTGTAAGATTCTCACTCCCCATCTCAAAACCATGATCTTCCTTACTTCTCCCCCCTCTCTCCCCTCCTCCAGATTCCTGGTTTTGCCAGGTTGTTTTTCCCACACTACCATTCTTTTCGGAGGTACTGGCATTTTCCACTTGTTTCTTTTCTGCTGTCATTCCTCCTGTAAACTCCTCACTCTGCTCTGACATGCTCCAGCCTTTCCTTATAGGTGGGGACGAGATTTTTGGGCTCTTGACTGAAGTGGTTCGAAATGAAGCTGCTACAGTGAATGGGCGGCTTCTTTCTTTCAGTGAAGAAGATCGTCTTAGCTTCTTCAGATCCAGATCTACGTCCTCGGGAGCTTCAGGCTTGCTGATTTCATCCTCAGGAGGCCACTTGGGCTTGGATACTTTGATCCCTTCCTCCAAGATACTTCCTGAACTACCAAGTTCAGTGGGGGGCGGCCAGGCGATCTTCAGCTTCTTGGTTTCAGCTGGCTTGTCTTCTTTCTCTGACTGAGAGGAGGCCTTGGCTTCCATGCTTGCTGTTAGCACACCCACCTTAGCAATGGGGGCATCTTCTACTCCTGGGCTCTGAGGGGTCTCCCCTGCATTTGGAAGCTGGGCTGGTCTCTCCAAAGTCCCTTCATTTTCATTTTTGCTGGCCCACAGATCCTTGTGTGGTCTGTGCCCAAAGCCTTCATCATAGTTGCCTTTAGCTTTAAAGAGCTGATTGAAGTGAGGCTTGCAGTAGATTCTCCCATGTAAAGATGCATATGTTCCTAGACTGTTGTTAAAAGAAAAAGAGCATAAAGTTAATAGATCTGTATACTTTTATTTATACTAGCAGGCTGAACTGCAGTGTTTTCACAAGATGCTAAGGGAGAAAAAGATCTTTAAAAGGACATCAATCACCTAGAATTCTTTACCCCCGCCCTTTCAAGCACATGTGTTTTATTACCCTTATAAAAACATGCTCATTTCTAGGCCTGAACCTTCACAAGACATTCTTTCATGTGGTACATCCTCCTACTTTCAAATGGTTTCACTCCCCTCTGTCAAAACTATAAAAAAAAATTCTTTCTTCCAAGAAGTCTTTCCTAGGTAAGCCCACCTATCTCTGACCACTCATAGGTTTCCTAATTACAATCTATAACTACTTATAATGATATTCCTTTGTATAAAGTTGAGTTATTTTCCTCGTTCCCCATTTGTGTTATAATTTAAAAGGACATCTCTACAGGAGTACGTATTTCGCTCTGCAAACGGTTTGTACTCACTAGATGCTAGTGACTGAATATGGTCAATAGGAGCCCAGGGAGCAGTAGCCAGGAAGTAAATCTACATTAATATCAGTGCCGGACAGGCCTTTAGGAGACTTGGTGTCTCTTGCAGGGTAGTAAATTTTATTTATTTTTTATTTTTTTTTAATTATTTTTTTATAAAGATTTTTATTTATTTATTGAGAGAGAGAGAGAATGGTAGAGAGCATGAGAGGGAAGAAGGTCAGAGGGAGAAGCAGACCCCCTGCTGAGCAGGGAGCCCGATGTGGGACTCGATCCCGGGACTCCAGGATCATGACCTGAGCCGAAGGCAGTCACTTAACCAACTGAGCCACCCAGGCGCCCAGGGTAATAAATTTTAAAGAGGATATAAAAACAATAGTATTTCCACAGAAGAGATATAAAAATTCAGAAACTTAGAAAAATATGGAGGAAAAAAATAATACCATGGGCAGAAAAAGAACCAATGAGTAGAAGTTACAGTGGCACATTTTAGCTCAGTAGAAGGGAAAGTTGTGGAACTAGAGCTGTCTTATACTGGAACTAGGTAGTGGGGTATCACCCCTGCAAAGTGCCACACAGATGCCAGCACATCTTTCAAGAGTATTTTAGAAGGAATGCTTGCTCTGAAAAGAAAGCTGGAGGAAGTGACATCCTAGTTACTTTCTTCTCTAAGACTCTATGATTTAAATGAGTTAATACGGAATATGTCCCCAGTATGTCACATTTTTTTTTTGCTTAGATTTTATTTGAGAGAGAGAAAGCTCAAGCAGGGGTCAAGGGAGGAGCAGAGGGAGAGGGACAAGCAGGTCTTGGAGCTCGACATGGAGCTCGATCTCACAACCCTGAGATTGTGACCTGAGCTGAAATCAAGAGTTCGATGCCTAACTGACTGGGCCACTCAGGCGCCCCAATTTGTCACATTTCTATCCAGTCCTTGAATTACTTGGAAGAAATGATACATAATTATTTTCTCAGAAATAAAATGAAGCAATATACAGAAAAATACATGCTCTTCAGGGTCTATTATTATTGTTATTATTACCGTTTATACAGTGTTTGGGACATTTTCAAGTAAGGACTTAGACAAGTATACTCTTTTTTTTTTTTAAGGTTTTATTTATTTATTTGAGAGACAGGGAGAGAGCATGAGTTGGGTGAGGGGCAGGGGAAGCAGGCTCTCCGCTGAGCAGGGAGCCTGATGCGGGGCTCGATCCCAGGACCCCAGGATCATGAACTGAGCCGAAGGCAGATGCTTCACAGACTGAGCTACCCAGGTGCCCTGACAAGTATACTCTTAAGATTTCTTAACTTTATGATTCTATGAGACCAAGGAGGTATATTCTACTAATTTAAGTCACAGGGGGTTTTACCTGCCAGCCATAGGATTTAAGTCCATGTAAATTAAACATGTAAATTAAAATATCAATGTACCACAAAGTTCCAAACACCATTCTCATTTGATGTGAAATACTTGTCACTAAATGGTACTTTTTACTTTCTTTAAGGACCTTTGACAGTGCACTCTTGGTACAAGAGCTTCTAGTACTAGTGCTCTAAAAGCCAAAGACTCCTTCCCATGGTCCATTGACATAGAGAGATGGCTCACTCTGGTTGGCTTACGTAAGTTTGTTGTTGCAGTAGGAACAACGGAAGCAGCTGACGTGAAACACCTGCTGGTTGGCCAAGAGACGTTCCATTGGGTAGACTGTCTTCTGACACTCCACACAAGTCTCTCTTGCAGGTGCCTGAAACTTCTAGAAGGAAAAGGGTAATGTTAGCATAGGCAGGGATGAGTTCGTACTCTGCTGAGATGTGCCCCAGTTTTACTTTGTTAGCTAAGGGCTCCCTTACCTGTCAATTCTCACAGGAACACTAAGCCCATTATGATTCTATCAGCTGACTCTTTAAGGCCAGGAAGCTCTCCTGCATCCCCTTCCCCGACTGGATGGCTGCCCCAAGTGTGGCAGCCACTGAGGCTGGAATGCAGAGGAAGGCCTGGACAGGCCACCACACATACAAACAAAAGTACACACAAAATGGTTCCACAGACAGGAAATTAGGAGAAAATGTCATCACACACAGAAGTTTGTTTGATTCAAGTGCCTGGTAAAAGCAGGACAGACTTTTATAAGAATAGATTCAGAAGGGGATAAATTTAAAGGAGAGGAAAAGCACTGGACTTTGGGAATTGGGAAAAGACAATCTGATAAAGCATCTTTTAGTGTCCTCTGCTTATAATCTTGACTTAGCATAACATTTTATCCATTAGGCACAATATTTTTAAATAAGTCAAAACTGACATGTAAATGTAATAATTTTAAAGAGACAAACTATTTTATTAGGACTCCAGAAGAAAGCATAGCCCAACAAAGCTATAGGTTCTATAACCTTCTCTCTCTGGCTGGCACAGTTGGGAGAGCATGAGAACTCTTGATCTCAGGGTTGTTAGAGCCCCACGTTGGGTGTGGAGCCTACCTGAAAAACAAGCAAACAAAAAAACCCCAAAAAACAATGGAGAATAAAACTATTGTAATGGGGAGTGCAAGGTCATAACAGACTGGGAATTCATGAACTGTCTGTAAAGTTTAGAATAAGAGTGGGGTGAGCATAGCTGTTTCAGCTGGTAAACCCAATCCTAAAGAACATAAAATAGTTCTTATTATAGGGGCGCCTGGGTGGCTCAGTCGTTAAGCGTCTGCCTTCGGCTCAGGTCATGATCCCAGGGTTCTGGTATGGAGCCCTGCATCAGGCTCCCTGCTCGGTGGGAAGCCTGCTTCTCCCTCTCCTGCTTCCCCTGCTTGTGTTCCCTCTCTGGCTGTGTCTCTGTCAAGTAAATAAATAATCTTAAAAAAAAATAGTTCTTATTATAGCACTGATGAAAGCCAGAATTCCCAAAGGGCAAGTTTTTTTTTTTTTTAAAGATTTTATTTTATTTATTTATTTGAGACAGAGAGTGAGAGAGAGAGAGAGAGAGAGAGAGAGCACATGAGAGGGGGGAGGGTCAGAGGGAGAAGCAGACTCCCTGCTGAGCAGGGAGCCCGATGTGGGACTCGATCCCGGGACTCCAGGATCATGACCTGAGCCGAAGGCAGTTGCCCAACCAACTGAGCCACCCAGGTGCCCCGCAAAGGGCAAGTTTTTACATAAGAAATCGTTACTGGGCTAATGGGGCTGGGGGTAAGAAGTCCCTAGGTATATGTAAATAACTCTTGACTTGCTCCAACAGAAACTTTTTTTTTTTTAAGATTTTATTTATTCATGAGAGACAGAGAGAGAGAGAGAGGCAGAGGGAGAAGCAGGATCCCCTCTGAGCAGGGAGCCCGATGCGGGACCTGATCCCAGGACCCTGGGATCATGACCTGAGCTGAAGGCAGACGCTTAACCATCTGAACCACCCAGGCGCCAAGACCAACAGAAACATCTTATCCAGCAAATGCAGGAGCAGCTTGGGTTAAGGTGGCTGGGAAGCTCTTACAGGCACCTGGGTGGGGGGCGGGGGGAGGGTCTCATAAACACTGTCACCAGCCAAGACCTGGGTGGTGGTAAATAATGCAAATTAGTCCCAAGGTCCAGGATTTGAATGGTTAAGATAAGCCAAAAATAAACCAGGTTATGGGCAAGATAGAATTTTCATTTAAAAACCTGAAAATAGTCCCATAAAAAATTCAGAATGCTGGTTCACTTGCTACATGATTCACCAGGAGGTAAAGCAAAAAATAGGAATGGTTTCCCAAGTGGATCCGGACAGGAAACAAAAGTAGAAAATGGGTAAAAAAACAAAAACAAAAACAAAAACAAAAAAAACGGCCGTAAAGGGAAATCTCTATAAAAGGGAGTGTAATAGAGTTTAGCGGTAAACAAATAGCACCAAGGGATTGAAGAACGAAGGAACAGAACTGAGTGGAAATGGCTCCTCAACAGCCCCCTTCCATTCCTAAGGTTAGAGCCCTAAAAAGAAAAACTTAAATAGTCAAAGACAGGTTCAACCTAGTTTACCAAGCATAAGGGAGGTATTTAAATATGATCAAATGTTGTAACTGAATGCTGTTGGAAGCAATTAGGGCCTTATCTGGAGCTCAGAATTCTTATACGGATACTTCTAACAAGATAGGACCCAGTGGCAATGTCACTGCATAGTTTTAATTAGGTTTTCTCTAAAAAGAGCTAGGTCCTTGTCTAGCAAGCAGGAAATACATTAAGATGCAAAATAAAATTTGGGTGTAACAGTACAATTGATGGCATCAGAGAGAGCCTGTACAGATCACAATTCACATGATGCAGAAGTCAGAGGCCAAATGTATCTATTTCTCAGACTGAAACTCTTTCAGTGGCAGGGTGGCTTCTGTATTTTGAGTGCTTGACTTAGGAGGACAGTATTCGTTCTGGGCAGTGAAGACAGAGCAGGAGATAGGAATCTCCCAGGATACAAGAGGAGAGGGGTATGACTGTGCTCAGGGGGAATGGAGAGAGCCGGAGCACACCTCCATCACACACACACAGAGGACACACTGTAGGAGGGTGCGGCCCCGGGAACAGAAAGGAGAACCTGAGAGAAAGCTGAAAGCTGAGCTCACGTTAGGAGGAAAGTGGAAGGCAGGAGCAGAAATTAGGTACCGGAGGAGCAGGAAGCAGAAGCTGCAAAAGACAAACAGGAACCTTCAGTGAATACACAGCATTAGGTTGGGGGTGTGGGGGGGGAGGGCCTGGAGCGCTTTACTGCAGCTGAGCTGAAACTCAGGTACAGACTCAGATCCAAGAATAAGACCATGTTTTCTTTCTTTTTCAAGTAATTCTGCTAATTTAGTGGCAAAAGCAGCCTCACTCCTATCTACCTGACGCTGGAACCTGGCCCAGCTCAGGACAGAGCTGTCGTGAGCATTCACCCACACAAGGAGTGTCTCATTAACAATTCTTTAGTGTCTTACTGCCTCCCACACCTGACCCACAGTGGCTCTCTCTTGAATGGGGTGAAAAGCCACCTCTCCTCCTTAACATCAAATTAATAGACTGCTAGCTCAAACATCTGACTAACCACAAGCTTCTAACTAACCAGACCTACAGAGGCCCGTTATTCCTATCCAATTTTTAGAGACCCTTTTCAGTATTATTTAATGTTTATATGGCAGCTGCCCAAGGGCCTTCTAGTTTCATAAAGTCAAGAGGATCCCAACCTGGTAATATGCCAAATCAGAGTGGCTGTGTCTGTGCCTTCCCTTTACTTCCTCTGTCCCGGGCTCTCAGCCACTTTTCTGTAATTGCCCCCATGTCTATTCAGACGACAGGAAGCAGAGTCAGTGCCCAAAAATCTTTACCATTATGGTAGGCCTTTAAACATCCACGTTTAAAACACTGCCAGTATTAGAATGTTAGACATTTTTTATCTTTAAAATATATTTTTTCACTCGGTAAGATGTTTTTCATCTCTCCTCCCTCACTCTTTTTCACATGTAGAAACTACAGCACCAGGACGTCAGGTTCCTTATCAAAGCTCCCACGGTCAGTAGCAGAATTAAAACTAAAACTCAGAACTCCCGATTCACAAACCAATAGAGCATTTTCTAAATTGTCCTGGCATGCTAATTTTCCGTAACTAAAGGAAACTCTTTGGGGAGGAGAGCAGATGCTAACCCAAATGAAAATAATCTCACTATAGCAGTTTGAACAAACTACAGTCCTCACTTTGTTTCAAATTAAAATATGTAGATAATATCTTTGGGATGTTCAGAAATGAATGAGGTAATATTTACATAACTGATGTTCATAAACACTGTCATGTCTTTCCCATATGAGGGATCTTACAGGCCCTCTGTTGATCAGCATCTATACAAAGCTATTTTTCTAATAAATGTGTGTGGCTTCATCTACATTCTTTCACTGTCTGGCCTTAACATATATATTTCAGTCTAATGAAAGCTCTAGTTGGGAGATTATAGATATGTATATATTTATATGTATATGTAACATATATAAACAACATACATATATATGGGGGGCGCTGGCAACAGTCAAGTGAAGCTAACTAGCCTTTGGACATGGTGAAGTCAGAAGGAAATTCTGTATTGATGTCAGGCTTCCATTCCTCAAGTATACCGCAAAATGCCTTTCATTCCCTCCTTTCCAATCTGTGCAAAATATCTAGGTAATTAAACTGAAATTCTTCACATACAGTAAATGGTTGGGCTGGCTGGCTCTGTGCAGCCTTAACCCTTCCCCTGGCTTTCTGTGAAACTCTTTTTGACAGCATTTTGGAGATACTCACATCTTAAACAGACTGCTCTACATGTAGAGGAAAGGTTCGTGTTTGATAAAGCAGGAATAATGGAGACACTAAGAAAAGATTCTAGATGCCCTTTAGCATAATTCCAATGGCTTTGCAAACTAGCATAAAACCTCCTACCCTGTCCATAGAGGAAGGGACAGTCAGCAGGGCATTGAGGGGGTGCCAGGTAGGTGTCCTCTCAGGCAGTCTGCCATGTTTTCTCTCCACATCCTTCAGCAGGACCAGACAAGGAAGCCTTGGCTGTCCTCGTGGGGGCAAGTGGGTGTTCCCAGAGGTGGCCACATCTCCTTGCCCCTTCCTCCCTGTTCTCCCCACTTAGGGGAAACATTTGGGGGATAACTTCTCTCAATGGAAGGACATAAAGCCTAAGAGACCTCTGGGTCTCTTGAGTAGAAAGGTCCTGATCTTTCTCACAGGGTCCACTGAGCTCTGCTCCCAGAATGTCTTTTTTGAGAGTGAATCTGCAACTTCAATTTCATTAGCACCAGGTCTCATCAACTGAGCTATCTGGCCAGTGTTCAAAATATACAAATAAAACTCTTACTTGTAAAGATGAGGATCATTTTTTTACTTTATCAAGCTAAAGTTTGAAATGAACCGAATCTCTACCTTAGATGTCCTATTTTTCAATAACAGACAGGCACTAGGGAACAGTTTTTCTAGGATGTGTGGGACCTAAAAATCTATTCTGAGTGAACAAGTTTATTCTGAGCTGTATGTAATTTCCCCAAGTGGAGAAACAACTTCTGTCACGTGGTCTATAGCCATGAGACCAGTGATGCCAGCAGGTCTTCCTATAAACACTGAAGTATATATATACTTGCCTTCAGAATGTAAAGGATAAATTTGAGGAGAAAATAAACTACCCTTAAAAGTGGAGATGTGACTGAGTCCCATCTGTATCTGTACACCATCATCATTTGAGCTTTGGACCATCGGCAAACACAGGGAGCCAAGCCCATTTACTCCAGTCTTCACACAACGTTCAAAACCTGAGGTGTCTGTCTGGTGAAAGCAGGCCTGTTTGCATTCTCCTGCTGAGTGACCAGGGCCAAAGAACAGGCATGGGTCTGGGACAGGTGTAGAGGGAGCTTTATCTCCAGCCCCTCTCATCCCTGGTATGCTAGGGAGGACCTAAGTGAGGTGCAGTCTGTCACTCATCACTCAGCAGCTCAGACCCTGGAGTCTGAATCAAGGAGGGACCTCAAAAGTCCAACCCAGTACCAGGAGGTCTGACCTAGCAGTTGAGGGAAGGAAATGAGACTGGGTTGAGAATTCAAATATATTCAAGAACAGATTTTAGTTCTTAGACAAGCCATGGAATTTCCTAGTCCCTCAGTCCGTGGCCAAGTCAGATTTACTGGTTGTTCTTGATCCAGAACCACAACCCAAGGACCCACATCTGGGCAGGGTTGCTGTTGGAGAAATTAACCCCATGGCATTTGCTACTTTGTTGGACTCCAGATACTGGACAAAGAAAGTGCTGATGACAGCATGAGCTGAACTTTAAAGCTGCCAGAATTGGGGGTCATGTTGAATACATGTGCAGCTCAATCACTGTAACTCCATCCTTCCTCCCTTTACCTGCTTTCTCTTGCTATTTTCTTCACCTTTTGCTCCTTTTCAATAAACCTTACTCTCCTCATGAATCTCAGCTTCCTGTAAAATTTTCATTTACATTCTTCACTCCTCCCTCTTCCCTTTTTTAACTCGCCCTTTATGTCCCAGATTCTCCCCTTTTCTCCTTTTGTTCCATATCTTCACTTATGTCCTCTTCTCTTCCTTCATTTTGTACACTAGAACTTTCATCAAGGCATGAGTCATGCCCACAGTTGAGAGATACAAGCACAGCTGATGGGTGCATGAGGCTGGGGCAGTTACAAACCATCAACACACCAATTCTACCTACTGCATTTCTTTTAAATGTTAAAACTTTCTAAATAAAACCTGGCTACTTAAGAGAGCACCAGAGGAGAAAGACACTAAAGAAGTGTGGGTATGTTTGGTTATTAATCCACATGGCTAAATTAGCACTACATTAGCAAAGCATCCTATTAAAATAAGTCAGGTAATAAAGTCTAAAGTAGGCATTGGGATTTTTTTTAACCTTTATTTTTATGAGAGTATATATTTGTTCATAGAAAGGGAAAAGACTGCTTTTTAAAAACTGGTGAATAAAAGGTGGCCAGAGATTGAGTTAGCCTCGTAAAGTTTTCTTAGGGTACAAAACTTTTGTACATTCCTTAACATCTAATATTATATACCCTAGTATAACTGTTACTTGAATGCCCGATTTTACAGCAAATGGGCTGGCCAACTCCCACTGCAATGTACACAGTCTTTCTTTAAAGAAGCTAACCACCAATCATGTTACAGTCAAGTTCTTCAGACCAGGGGGCCACTCTCTTCAAGTTGACATGCACATCCCCATCCAATGGGCTGATTTAGTTTGACAGATTTCTTGAATTTTCCACTTTGTTGTCTTTTGCCCATTCACAGATTTATGGACTTGGGCATTATTTTCCCCCTCAAAAAAACACACACACACACACACACACACACAAAACCCACGTCATTTTCTTTAATTTTGGGTTTCCTTAAAACTTTCATGAATTTTCCAGATTTCAAACTGAGAGCTATTAGTGAACCTCTCTCCTCCTGGCTCAAACATCTGAGCGGAAGAGACAAGATTTCCAGGGAAAGTGACTGGCTTAAGTATGCCCTTACTTGGCGTTTTCATCCCCACAAAAGCAAAAACGGGTTATAATGAACATAATGATATAAGGTGCAATGAGATCTACTTGTAAACCAATGTCTAAAGGTTCCGAGAGAAATTGCCATCATACCTTCACTGCTTTGGGAGGAGAACTTTCAGAGAGGCTGGAGGCTCTGGCATCTGGATTTAGTGGTTTAGGATGGACAGGCTGCTGGACCTCACTCTTGACCTGGGAGTTACCTGCTTGAATTATGAAAGGAAGACATTTTATAGTATCAGGGGAAGTCTCAGAAATGGTTCATCCCCAAAGCAAAGCTTTGGCACCTCTACAATGGACAGGTCTTTTCAACACCAGGAAAAACACAGCTCTTCTAATGCTAAAAGCTATGCTCTTAGGTTCTGAGCTGGGAGGTTTTTTCACACTTTGCCACACACAGCAAGGATCCAAATCATTCTATCTGAAGAACTTTCTGCCCCCCCCCCCCCGCTGTAGTATTTGTCACTTTTAAAGGCTGTTTGTAGCAATGTGATGTAATGAGCACTGGGCATTATGTAAGACTGATGAATCACTGAACTCTACCTCTGAAACTAGTAATACACTATATGTTAATTAATTGAATTTAAATTAAGAAAATAAAGGCTGTTTGTAGATGATTTTTTTTGGTAGTTAGCACCCCCAATAACTCCTTCTGGAGTGCTTGAAGGAATGTGAGGGTATAAATTTCCTATTGCACATGCACACCCACTGGGTGTGGGGGTGTGTGTAATTTGACAGTCTTTTTGGTCAGTCCTATAGCAGATATCTATGGATGGAGATTATGGAAAAAGGCTCCATGAAGTTTTTTTCATAATCATTGATGTGTCACCTGCATAAATTAATTTTCTGCCAATATAGTCACTGTGTGGAAAACTCTGAGCAGACACAGAAAAGTGCTACTAAGGAACCATAAAAGAATTCCTTAAAATCTAGAGTTAAGTCAACAAAGTACTAAAAGATTAAGGCTTATTTTTCAAATATTTTGCAAACCTAGTCAAAACTCAGAAAAATTTCTAGTACAAGCAAAATGACTACAAAAGGAATATTCTTGGATTGAAGCAGCAAATTTCTCTCTAAAATTTTAAGGTAGGATTTACTAGAGATTTGTTAAATTCATCTTTCTACTTTAGTTGCTGAGTTTTCAATGTCTAGTAAAGTAATTAACCTGGAGAGAAGCTAGAAATCCACATATATTTAAAAAAAATACTGAAAATTAGAATCAAAAGTGGATATAGTAAGAAACAAACAAAGGTTTTTGTTTTTGGTAGAAGTGAGGCTTGAAATGGATGAAAAGCTGATAAAATTCAGCGCCAACAGGAAAATCTCTAGAATCTGGCTAGAAGGTGGACTATGGTTCACATATAGATAAGCAGAGAAAGATATTTTTAAAAGGTTACTCAAATACCAATTCTTTATCCCTGTAAATGAATAAAATCCTTCTTGGCCAAACTCCTATTAAAATGAAACTTCAAAATTAGTTTTTATAGCTTGAACCCTGAAAAGGTTTGATACAAAAGGCAGGGTACATTCAATGAGAGAAGCACCACAAGTATTCAGTTTGCCCCAAATTAATCACACTGAGTTTAATTTCTCCCTAAGCCAGGGAACGTGTGAAGGGTAAGCAAGCATCAGTCCTTAAAACCTAGTGAAAGATTTGATCAGCTAAGTTGCTGGGTTTAATATGTTACATTCTCAGCACTGACAGCAATGGGGACACATTCCCGGACAAAATACAGAATACAGAACAAGAACCTCATCCTCCAGATCTAAGAACAAACGCTTACGGGAATCATCTTCAGCAGGGGTGGAACGGACTGCCAGGCTATTCTCAGTTGCAGAAACCTACAAAAGGGGGGGATTAAGAATCACATTAAAAATAAAAGAGCACACTGCTGTTAATGCCATAAAAACCTGCTGACTCTAGTCAGTCACTGGCTGCCTGGGGGAAATAACGGGCCCCGGAACAGCTGAGCATTTAAACAAGAGGCAGCAAAATGTCTTTTATGAGGATATTAACATGCCTCTCAATTACAGAGTAATGGGAGAAACAGACTGCACTCAACTGTCAAAAGTGTGCATCATCTCCCTTTATAAAAGAACTTCTAAACCACATCTTTCTGTCAATAAATAAATAAATAAATAAATAAATAAATAAAGGCAAAACAAAACCCTCTATCAGAGAGAACAAAGCTTCTTACCATAGAACTATAACACACTCAAAGGCAAGATGAAGTCTTTACATTAGGAACTATTCTTATTCCTTTATCTTCCTAATTCCTTATTTCCCAACCACATACATTCTGTTGAAACAAGCTGGCCAATACAGAGGATCTTTTTTTTTTTTTTAAAGATTTTTTATTTATTTATTTGAGAGAGAGAGAGAGAGAGAGAGAGAGAGCACAAGAGGGGGGAGGGTCAGAGGAAGAAGCAGACTCCCTGCCAAGCAGGGAGCCCGATGTGGGACTCGATCCTGGGACTCCAGGATCATGACCTGAGCCGAAGGCAGTCGCTTAACCAACTGAGCCACCCAGGCGCCCCTACAGAGGATCTTTTGATAGCTAAAAGACAAATTGACCAAAAACCAACCTCTGGTGTTATCTTCAAGTTGGTTTTCCGTTTTAATCCCAGTCTCAAAATGGCAGTGTTTAACAAAATGGCAGATCTTATGTATGGGTGCAAATCTCTTCCCCAGAAGCCATCAAATTTAAATAAAAACTTTCTACTTTCTCTCTCTCTCTCTCTCTCTCCTTTTTAGTGGCCCCTAGGCCTTCCCGGTATCCTCTATCACACTCAAAATCATGAAGGGTCAATAGGTGACCCAATGTGTAGTCTTCATGTAAAAGTCTTTCATTCAGGGGCACCTGGGTGGCTCAGTCATTAAGTGTCTGCCTTTGGCTCAGGTCATGATCCCAGCGTCCTGGGACTGAGCCCCGTCAGCTTCCCTGCTCAGCGGGAAGCCTGCTTCTCCGTCTCCCACTCCCCCTGCTTGTGTTCCCTCTCTCGCTGTCTCTCTCTGTCAACAAAATAAATAAAATCTTAAAAAAAAAAAGTCTTTCATTCAGATGTCAGGGATTTTATGGGCAATGCTGAGTGTTTCTATCAGGATGTCTAATGTACTGAATAAATGTACTATGGAGATTAAGTCATTGGCTGACTGCACCTGAATTTTTGCATGGTTGTTTTTTCTCATTACTCTCTCTCTTTTTTTTTTTTTTCCCAAGTAGGCTCCACACCCAACATGGAGCCAAATGCGGGGCTTGAACTCACAACCCTGAGATCAAGACCTGAACTGAGACCAAGTTGGACACTTAGTCAACTGGGCCACCCAGGCGCCCCTACTCTCTTTTCATTACAGGAATTCTGACATGGCATAGAACAAACCAGTATAATAACAGCCAACATTTACTCAGTGTTTAGTATGTGCCAGGTATTGGAATGATCACTCTACATACATTATTTCATTTAATGATAGGAAAGAAATTAAAAGCTCTTCAATTCTTGTTAATTAGTAGGTGCATCCATCGCAGGATGTTCCTCTCTCACCTCTAATTTTGGTCACCTTGAACCTGCAGGGTAAACTTACTGCCAATCATGACATCATTGCACATGCCCAACCAGCTGACCTCACTGCAGGAGCCGCCAGGAGAGAGCACGTGAGATTTTGCTCGAACATTTTATTAAAGGAAAGCGCAAATTCATTTACAAGAGGAGAAAGGGAAGAACAATACCTTGACAAAATATTCTATTTCAGGCAAGTTTACCCTAGCATTAATGTCCCTTTGTAACAAGCTGAAGTTCAAATAGTTCTTGGGTATCGGTTAACAAAAGCTAGGCAAATAGCTGAAAGGATAATTGAGGCTCTGAAAAATTTTACGAATTTGAAGGCAGCCCCAGCTTTATGAACCTGCAGTATGTACCTTAAGACTATGTACTGTCTTTATCTCCTTTCTTCCCCACCCACTCCTCAACTCATGGTTTAGTTGCACAGATGCCCTTTTAGGCTGTAATTACAGTGTTCTGATACTCCAGTTTAACTCAGAGGTCCAGTTTCAAATCAGTGTGAAGATAATCAAGAAAGAAACACAAAATTAGATTAGGGACAATCCAGGCATTATTTTCTAGATGATCATTTCTGAAACTATGCTCCTAGGACAGATGAGGAAATTTCAATGCTGGGAATATTTTTCTCTTAAGTTTCTTTTTTATAGTATGTAACATTTTAACTCAGTTTTTTTTTTTTTAAGATTTTATATTTAAATAATCTGTACACCCAACGTGGAGCTTGAACTCACAACCCCACAATCAAGAGTCGCACACTCCACTGACTAAGCCAGCAAGGCACCCTAACTCAGTTTACTCTTTTTTCTTTTTTTTAAGATTTTATTTATTTATTTGACAGAGAGAGACCCAGCAAGAGCAGGAACACAAGCAGGGGGAGTGGGAGGAGAAGCAGACTTCCCGCCAAGCAGAGAGCCTGATGCCAAGCAGAGAGCCTGATGCGGGACTCCATCCCAGGACCCTGAGATCATGATCTGAGCCGTAGGCAGATACTTAATGACTGAACCACCCAGGCGCCCCCTCAGTTTATTCTTAAGACACAATCTCCCACTTAAAAATGGGAAAACCAGGTAGTCTAATAAGAGAATTCACCTGATACATGGCATGTGACTCATGGGACTAATGCGTGAGCCCACTGTTGCCAGGACATATGTAATTTATTGGATGATTTTATGATTATGAAACACATGGCTGCCAAGTATTTTGTCTTATTATTTCAACATATACTTGCAATATGTTTTTGTAAAATAAAGAGATCTAATTTTTCTGGAACATAAGGAATAGCATGGAGGACATTAGGAGAAGGAAGGGAAAAATGAAGGGGCGGAATTGGAGGGGGAGACAAACCATGAGACTATGGACTCCGAGAAACAAACTGAGGGAATTCAAGGAATTCCTTGAAGATATCATCTCTAATAAAAACAGATTTTTAAAAATCACTTTAGCTCTACACCCTCTGAGCATCTGCCGAGCAAAAGAATTTTCCAGTGAAGGTTCATTATTTGGTCAGCTATAAGTCGCAGAGTTCCCCAACTGAAATTATGTGACCTGCAAAAATGACAATCTGTCCTGGCAGCTGCTACCAAATTCCCAGACACTCTGCAGCCTAGAGTGAGAGTGGTTTCTAATTTTAAGCATCTAATTTAGAACACATGCTTCCTTGGCAACTGGACATCAGATTTTTCAACCCACCTTCTCTCCAACCTGATGGGAGATGCAGACCTCAGGATCTGGGGGCACATTCTCCTTTTGCTCCAATTTATGAGTTCTGATTTCACCGCCATTGGCTCTCAAGTCATTCTACAAAATAAAAATAAATCTGTGAACTAAAATAAAAAAAGCTTACTATTCTGCGCTCTTCATAGCACATCCATTAAATAAATTTGGAATGGTAAAAGAAAAGTTCTTTTAAGAAGCCTCGGGTCAAATCAACCCCCTAATTCTCACAAGCAAAACCCATTGACTAGTGAAATGACAAAAGCGGCTTTGTGGACACACACCTCAGAGTTAAATATTTGTACACTAGTCTAAAACTGGATGCTCATTAGAATACAGGCATATCAACACAGACACACAGAGAAACCACCCCCAGCATACAATGTTCTTGTGATTCACTCCTCTAGCAGCAGAGCTTGTGGGAATGCAAAGCCTGTGAGTTTTATCAGAAAAGACCATTCTGGAGCAGGGGAAAGGAGATGCCAAGTGCCAATAATCAAGAAAATATACTGACCATATATATAAATGCTCGGCCTGGAAAGAGAGACAGGGATGATGCATACATATAAAAACTGAAATTATATTTAATGATACCATAAAACAACCTTTTTTTTGGTGAGACTTTCAAAAACATCCTTCTTTTTGCATAAAACTCAGACATTGTACTAAAGACATACCTTATTCTACTTTCTCAGAACAGAATCTCCACATAAAAAAGCAGGCATTAATACTGTCATAAGGAGTAAGCATAATCACATTTTTTTTCCTTGCAAAGAACACTTGGGGCAAAATATTAAAATTAACTTTATCTACTAGATCCAAAATCAATATAGTGGTAGACGAATATGGACATTTCCTACCTTTAGTTTGCTATCTTTCTGAAAGTCTGGTACCTTTCTGTTCTCTGTGATTCTTTAGTCAGGGCGAGAAAACAAGCTATGTATGGCCACAGGGCCAGGGTTAAGTGTGCTGACTGAGGTGTGGGATCCCAGACTAAGGGACAAGGCTCTGGAGGAGCATCGGTGAGGGGGAGCAGGCAGCGAGTGCTGCAGAACACAACAGGACAGCTGAAGGACTCACTCCTGACCCCATCTTGAAGCTTGGCCTCCAGAATCACGCCGGAGCGTGTGCGCCTTGTTACAGCCATCTTCTGTAAGGGGCCTGAGAAATTCTTTTGGGATGAGATAAAATGTACTTTTTACAAGAATTCCTAAAGACTTTTCAACTCTTAAAATTTACAGAGCAGGAGAACTGCAATGCTGAAACTCTATTAGGAGTTTAAAAAAAAAAGTCACTGAACAGGTTTTTCCACTTAGGGAGTCACCTGGTTGGAATGTTTATAGCAGGAGGGCACAGAGAAGCAGCAAAATCTTGAAACAAGGGAAATAAGCTCCAAAGATCACCTGTTTGCTCTACCTCCTGACCTCCTTCTAAGAGAAGTCTAACTTTGCTCACTTTCATGCTGTCGGTGAATAATCAGCCTGTGGTGTTCCACTTTACGACCGAGTTATACACATCATCTCTTCTTAAAACCACAGCGAAAACTCAGGACAAAATTATTCATTGCCCAGAGACTTAGTCCACCGATAAGTACTATTGGAGAATGCATACTTAATAATGTGAGGAAAAGAAGGCTCAACTCCTGGAATACAAGTTATGATTTCTAATAGGTACTCATTTCAGTCTACCTGTGAACAAATAAAAATCAATACTATCTTCCAACAAAAACATAGGACACCTAGAGATTCGTGGCTTGTATTCTGAAATCTCAGAAGGAACAAATGTTTGAGAGATCCATATCTATGTATATGTAGAGTGTTTATATGCATGTGTAGGTATGAATAAATGGCATTTAAAAGGTGTCTTTGGTTAAGCAGTTCTGTAGTGTCAGCCTGCCAGGTAAGCCTAGGAAAATCTAAAATGGAAAGACCCTTCATTTGATTTAGAATATCACGTTTTTATGCTTACTGAGCATGTCATCTTCCTATTATTTCTCCCTCCCCTTTATCTATCCATTATTCTATTTCTTTAGAAAATCATTACATCATAAGAAGTAAGGATTAAGTAGGCCATATATTGTATGATTCATTTATATAAAATGTCCAGAATAGGTAAGTCCATAAATACAGAAAGCAGATTAGTGGTTGCCAAGGGATGAGGGGAGGGGAACTAGTGACTGCACAGGTATGGGGTTTCTTTTGGGGGTGATGGAAATGTTCTGGAATTAGACAGTGATGACGGTGGCATGACCTTATGAATACACTAAAAATCACTGAATTACATGTGAAAGTGGTCATTTTACATCATGTGAATTCTATATCAAGAAAAAACTGCAAGAAACCTCCCCATCCCACATTAATGTCGAATATATCCTATATTTCTTGCCAGTATTCTCTCCTCCTTTCCTCAAAAACAAAAACAAGTGTTTCTGTTAAAACTAACAGACTATAACTTTTTTAGCAACAACAACAACAACAAAATTAAGCAGAAGAGGCAGGAACACTCTCCATGATATTACTGGATGATAACATCACCAACGAAGGAGTGGGGTGGGAATGAGGCCTAGGAAAGCCAAGTCAAGATTAGAACAAGATAAGGATTCTGAATGAAGCTAGGGTAGGATTTACGTGGAAGGAGAATGGCTAGGGACCAGGGAGAGAGCAGGGCTCTCGGGTCAGGGTCTGGGAGACATCTCTTGTCTCCGTGTTCAGTGACCACTGGCTGGATGAGTGAATGGATGATGCAGAACACATACTGTGGAGCTGCTGGAGTTGCTCTGCTTGGACACAGCTGCCTGGTACTTGGCCATTCGATCCTTTATGGAGGTTTCTGACAGGCGCGGTAAGTCCAGATTTCGCCTGCTCTCGCTTTTCTCTGCGTTGAACGTAGATGTTGACTGACCTGGAAGCACACAAATAATGTGTTCTATCAGAAGATAAAATGTGATTTGAATGGTTTCAAGATTCTAAATTTGGGGGGCGCCTGGGTGGCTCAGTCATTAAGCGTCTGCCTTCGGCTCAGGTCATGATCCCGGGGTCCTGGGATCGAGCCCCGCATCGGGCTCCCTGCTTGGCGGGAAGCCTGCTTCTCCCTCTCCCACTCCCCCTGCTTGTGTTCCCTTTCTCGCTGTGTCTCTGTCAAATACATAAATAAAATCTTAAAAAAAAAAAAGAAAAGTTTCTAAATTTGGGGCTGTTGGAATCAGATGTAATCCATTTCTTCTATGAAGGGTACAAAGAAGGAAATCAGGAATATAACTGTCACTTACTAGGTAATAGTTACTCACTTTCCCAACTTTAAAAGGAGAACCTTTACCATAAATGAGTATTATATATTTAAACATTTTGGCTTACTTAACATTGGAAAAAACTAGATCTCAATGCCATTTTAATTTGCATTTCTTTACCAGGAGGCTGATGATTTTCCTGCTAATTTTATTTTTTGTTTTGTGAAATGCCTGTATAGGCCCCCTTCCAAACATAATAATTATGCTCTCAAGGTGTTATGTTACCATCGGTAATACAGGATAACCAATCTTGACAGAGGACACTGCCACCCACCCATGGCAGCCCTCAAGCCCCAGATGACCTTAGAGCCAAAACTGTGGGCAGTCTTCCCTCGTCATCCCACAAGGGGACCCCTGGGCTGTCACAAATATAGTTTCTTTTAATTTGTGCCACTCTTCCTCTAAAAGCATCGGCTTTGAGGCCAAAAGGTATTGCTACTAATGAGTACTTCCTAGGGAACCTCACACACACGGAATGCTGCTTACCTGGGCCTATTTCCAAATCATCCAGAGAATAGCTGCTTTCAGAGATCCTCCTTCCACCTGCACTCCGACTTTGGGACCGAAGAATCTGTTCGGGAAAACAAAATTCAGCCATAAGCTTTACATGGAAGGTGGGAAATCCTGATGAATGTTCAGAGAAGAGGTCTGCAAATTTCCTTTATTAATAAAATCCACAAGACATTACATTTTGTATTAGTTTTTACATTCCACAGAATGTGTTTTTAGCATTATAAATATGAAGCACTACATATTCACAGGTGCCCAGGCAGAAATAAGTAACTCTATAGAGGTAATTCTCTCTGGTAATAATCACTGCCTAACCAGCTTAACCAGAGAACTAAGCACTTTAAAGATTTTTTTTTTTTTTTTTTTTTTTTATTTGACAGAGAGAGACAGTGAGAGCAGGAACACAAGCAGGGGGAGTGGGAGAGGGAGAAGCAGGCTTCCCGCTGAGCAGGGAGCCCGATGTGGGACTCGATCCCAGGACCCTGGGATCATGACCTGAGCCGAAGGCAGACGCTCAACGACTGAGCCACCCAGGCGCCCCTGAGAACTAAGCACTTTAACCAGCCATGGAGGGGAATCCTCATGTCCCAGACGACAGGGACATGTCTCCCTGAACGTCAAGTCCGGATGACAGTATCTGCCGTTTGTTTCCCTTTTCCCTCCCACTTCATCCCCGCTGTTACAGCCTTGGTTCACATCTTTATCTTTTCCCTGGGCTATTGTATTACATTTCTAACTGGTTCCTCTCTACCTTCCAATCAAGTCTCTATGATGCTGCCATTATCCCACATCATGTAATTATTCCCCAATATAAAGCTATATTACTCTCTTGTTCAAAATGCTTGGAAAATTCCTATAATCATTCCCCAAACTAAATCTAAAGTGCTTAGTATGTTACAGAAGACCAGTTCTACATCTAGTCCCTACCACCCCTCCCTGAGTATTCCCTTCCTCATCCCTTACCTTCCAATAAAAACAAACTGCTGGGAGGTCCATGAGCTTGTAAATGAGTTCCCTTCCCCCATCCCCCTTTCATCCTTCTATTTGTTCTTTCAAGACTCAGTGGAGGCTGAGCAACATTCTCTCTGTGAAGTCCACCTTAGCTCTCCTACATAAATCTAAGTAGTCCTTCCTCTGTTTCCAAGGTACCTGGTCACACTTACACTACAATGCTTATTATGTGTCCCTCTACTGGACTGGAAGCCTGCTGAGGGCAGGGACCATGTTGTTGTTTTTTATTTTTATTTTTTTAAAGATTTTACTTATTCACCCGACACACACACACAGAGAGAGAGAGAGAGCACAAGCAGGGGGTGCAACAGGCAGAGGGAGAAGCAGGCTCCCCGAGGAGCAGGGAGCCCGATGCGGGGCTTGATCCCAGGACCCTGGGATCATGACCCGAGCTGAAGGCAGTAGCTCAACCAACTGAGCCACCCAGGTGCCCCATGTTGTTTTTTAAATAGAAACATGGATGGTACAGATTTTTTGAATAAATTATTTTGTGAGTCCTGTAAACTACTACATTTATATCTCTCATATCTAGGGTAGATCTCTAATTAAAGTTACAAATTATAATTTTTAAGACTGGAAAAGTAACTTAAGAGAAGGCCATTTAGTGTCACAGAAAGTTCCCAGAAAATAGTACACAGAGAGTATGTCATGTTTATTCAGCTTGTAATGAGAGCCTTCAACCAGATCTTATCATTCAAATCTCAATTTATTTCCAGATAACTTGAAGTGCAAAAGATATCTGAAATCCAGTAGAACAGAAGAGTAAAACACTTAGCACCCTTCTGAACTCAACATTAGTAAATAGTTATTAAACCTTTAAGTTCAATAGACTAATCAACTCAACAGTAAAGTTTAAGACTGAACTTTTTCAAGTCCTCCCCCACCCCCACCCCCCGAGAGAGAAAACATGCCACTTCAGAAATCAGAGCCAAGGCCTGGTTTGTTTGTACCATACCAACAACAATAGTTTCTTGCAAATTCAATATACATTTCATATAATTTATCTCCAGTCAGCTTTGCTAATTACATTATTAACTGATAAAAAAATAAAATAAGCTGTAGCAACTCTAACCTTGCCACATTATGCTCAGGTCAGGGCACCAACATCAACCACATCCACATGACTCACATGATGCAACAAACTCTTGCTCTGAGAGCAGCCACCCATCTAGAAATGAAGATCACCAGCCAAAACAAAAAGATAAATTTGACAGGACACCCTCCCCATCCACATTTTTTTATTTTCAAAACATTTTTCATTTGCAGATAATTAAAGTAAAGGAAATTCCAAAGACTTATTCCAAATGCTGCTTGACTGTAGGATGATTACTGTAAAAATTAGAATTTTCTGGGCTCAAAAAAGGGAGAAAGCCTGGAAATACGTTTTTGTTTTTTTGTAACCAAAGGAGAACGGGTTCTGCATCCTTAATAATGAAGCAATATTTCAAATATTTACATTCTGTTAAAGGTAAAGTTCAGCTATGATTCCAAGAGTATGCTTTATGTGTCACAACCTGCAGATAGCTCGGTTTTCTGTCTGTACTTGTAGTCAAATCCCTCTCTGTCTCATGCAGAGTCCCTGCACTGGCATTATTGGGAGCAAGCCCATTTAGAACCAGAATATATGCCTTGCTAGGGCAGAGGCTTACTTTGGTTTTATTTATTTATTTTTTAAGATTTTTATTTATTTGACAGAGAGACGGAACACAAGCAGGGGGAGTGGGAGAGGGAGAAGCAGGCTCCCCGTTGAGCAGGGAGCTGAAGCAGGGCTCGATCCCAGTACCCTGGGATCATGACCTGAGCCAAAGGCAGACGCTTAACTACTGAGCCACGCAGGCGCCCCTTACTTTGGTTTTAGATACATAAAATTCTCCATCTTTGCTAGCTTTCAATTTAAACCTTCAGGTTAAATAAAGTTAAGAGCCTTTTTCTTTTTTAAAGCCTTCTGGTACATGAGGGTATCAGGACTCCAAATTCTTTTCTTCCAAGTGCTAAAAAAATGAATGTGCAAAGCCATTTGGTCTTCAAGAAAAACAGAAATGTCTCTGGAAATCAAAGTTATACTGACACTGGTTCTGAGGAAGAACACAGCTCAGAGATGGGAGATCTTTTAATGAGATCCCAGATGAAGCACTAAGCATTTCTTTCAATACTGGTTCACCTCCAAATCACTCAAATATTAAGAATAACAAGAACTCGGACTACACTGGGCGCCTGGGTGGCTCAGCCAGTTAAGCGGCTGCCTTCGGCTCAGGTCATGGTCCCAGGGTCCTGGGATTGAGTCCCGCATCGGGCTCCCTGCTCGGCAGGGAGCCTGCTTCTCCCTCTCCCTCTGCCTGCCTCTCTGCCTACTTGTTCTCTCTCTCTCTGTGTCAAATAAATAAATAAAATCTTAAAAAAAAAAAAAAGAACTTGGACTACATCAATAACTAATGATGTAATGTATGGTGATTAACATAACAATAAAAAAATTAAAAAAAAAAAGAATAACAAGAACTCGGGCGCCTGGGTGGCTCAGTCGTTAAGCGTCTGCCTTTGGCTCAGGTCATGATCCCAGGGTCCTGGGATTGAGTCCCGCATCGGGCTCCCCGCTCAGCGGGAAGCCTGCTTCTCCCTCTCCCACTCCCCCTGCTTGTGTCCCCTCTCTCGCTGTCTCTCTCTCTCTGTTGAAAAATAAATAAAATCTTAAAAAAAAAAAAGAGTAACAAGAACTCAGATGCATTTACAATGAATTTTGTGATCCTCATTTTACAAGTGGTAATCTGAGGTACAGGAAGAAGGAGGAGTTTCCTCTAATATTTCTCAAGGAAGTAGAAGAACACAAAAAGAAAAAAAACAAACAGGAATTCTTATACTGAAATACTCTTCTGTAACACATTTTTATCACATTTCAGCCCTGTTTACTCAGATGCCTGAGGGAGCCTGTTAAGAGAAAAGACAAGACACTTCAAGACTTTCTGGAATTTCCTAAGACTTGGCCTCACCCCACCCCACAAGTCCTCCTTCCTGTCAGCTGACTGTAGTAACTCTCATTAGTGGGATGGCCCCTTGCAATACTCTCTGAGAATCCATAAACTAAATGCATCAACACATACCAATAAGAGAAAAAAGAGTTTAGAGCCTTTCGCCAGTAGTCTGTAGAATTTCTTTCCTCTGCAAAGTTATCTTTTCTTTCTAAGATTTTATTTATTTATTTGAGAGAGAGAGAGAGAGAGAGCAGAAGCAGGGGGGACGGGCATAGGGAGAGGAAGAGCAGGGAGCCAGATGCAGGGCTCAATCCCAAGACCCTGAGATCATGACCTGAGCCAAAGGCAGACTGTTTGTTAACCAACTGAGCCACCCAGGAGCCCCTCTGGAGAATTTTCTTAAAGGAATAAAGTAAGTGAGGTCCCAAATATCAAGTAAAAAGCAGGATTTCCTGTCCCCCCTAATTTTTAGGAAAAATTCTGTCTAAAAGTTGATTCTCAATACCTTAATTTACCTCATACCTCTCTCAGCCACTTCCTTCAACCTTTCAACTTTGACCTTCCTTCTGACTCTCATCCCTCCAAAGTCAAGGGTAGAGGATGACCTTTAGGGAAAATGGGACTTTGCTGAACTGTGCATAGGGTGTAGATAAAACCTAGCCTTAATTTCTCAAAGTACTGAGAGACAACATTTCCTTCTCCAGGTAGAAGAAAACAGAAAAAAATGGAGCTCTTTTAAGTAAAATAATACATATAGAAGGAGCTCTTTATATCCAGGTTGTGGGATTTCTTTATATTTTCTGTATTTCTAAGCATTCTACAAAAATTATGCGTTACACTTAAAATTAGGAAAAAAAGAAAAGAAAGGATGGGGCACCTGGGTGGCTCAGTCAGTTAAGTGTCTGCCTTCGGCTCAGGTCATGATCTTAGGATCCTGGGATCCAGTCCCATCGGGCTCCCTGCTCAGCAAGGAGTCGGCCTCTCCCTCTGCCCCTCCCCCTGCTTGTGCTCTCTCTCTCTTTCTCTCTAAAATAAATAAAATCTTAAAAAAGAAAGGAGAGGCAATACATCATATTTATTAATA